TCATAGATTAACATATAGGATTAATAAATTTGAGGAAAAAAATATTTATCTTATTGTCGTTGACGAAAAATCACTAATATCAATATGTTAACATTCTATCTGCCCGTTTATTTTAATATTTTAAATAATATACTTTCTTACTGCAAAACTTTTCTTGCTGTTGCTCGATGGTAGTGTATAATTGCATAAACTTTTTAGCTCGCATACGTGCGTAGAACGAGTTTGTCGAGTAAGACTGTATTCTCGGCATTTGAACCGTGATTGTGGTAAACGGCGATTCGCATTCAAGGTATGTCCGGCTCGAGGTATATATGTGTACCTAGCGTCCGTGCAACGGGTGCATCACTCGTCCTGGCATCGAAAAAGCGGGAAAAGTCGTAGAAAAAATTCGGTTGCCCCCGCATGTTTCGACGGCCTCGGAGCTGCCCCGAGGCATACGAAAAAAGGCCGTGGAGATGCGGCGTCGAATACTAATTCTAGGGACCGTTTTGCGCGGACCAACAGAGAGACAAAAGACGTGACGACGATGGCAGGGAGACCGACGCGACGCGAGTTAAGAACGCGAAGGCAAATGAACGTCGGAGAAAAAGGAGAGAAGAAAGACCGTGTGGCTGCGACGGTACGAATTTACATGAAAATACGTGAACTCGGTGGCGATGATTTCTCCGGGCATTTCCTAGCGCGCTACCGAAATTCCGGCGTCGGTTTGCCGCAATAGTCGAGCGACGCCGACGCGACAAAAGCGTCGCAGCGCGCTCACACATGTACGCAATATGTATAATAAACGAGAGTGCGTTTTTTAACGAGTACACTCCTGCGAGTCACCACGGTGGATTTATTATGCGCGCGCTCCCAAGTGGACGCGTGTGCGTGACCGGTTTACCCCTTTGACGAAGCGTTAATGGCGCTACCATCGCTAACGCGACTTCATCTTTCTCATTCTGATGGTATTTTTGCGATTGCAATATAAAATAAAATGATATTATTGACATACGTATCCGCGATCAAAGAATCAAGAAGGTGCAAGATGACAGCCGATCAGCTGATCAGATTGCGGATCTGATATTGCGGAAGATGCGATTTTGTAAAAATATGATTTCTTATTATTTTAAGAAATCGTGTCTTTCGCGATGGAAGATATATTTTATATGTAATTTTGTGTAAGAATCCACTCAAGACAATAATAATTCATAAATCTATTGAATATACACCAATTATTAAATATAAATCAATACATAATAATATAAATCTGTGCATAACATCGATCTTTTTTGGTATCTTTTAAAATTATTTACGTATTTTACGTATTTAAAAAATTTTAGACGATTTTTTTCAAAGCGGTATTTTGCGACACTTCATTCAGTTTCTCAGTTAGGACTTGGCTTAAAACTTGTGCATGATATGAATGAGAATAGCGGGATTCAGAAGACAAAGGCGAAAATCTTGTATCTGTATATAGTCATGTCTGATAAGCACTTTACGGTAGTGTATGTTAAACGAGAAACGTGGGAATTCGCGTTTCGTTTGTATTTTGTGTGCCGCTCACGTTATCTGTCTGTTACAGCGCTTTGAAGTTACATCAGCCTACTGTGGAAAATAAAAAGAGAATCGAGCTTTTGAAAAAGAAAAATATGAATTCTCGTCCTTTAATATTTATAATTTGCACAACATTAACAGATTAGATATTTGATTAAAAGAGTGAGATAATGCAACATACAAGAAATTCTACAAGAGGATTGTAACTATGTTTTGTGGACAATAATTTTAAAATAATCCATGTATGTATATATACTGTAGCAAAAACAACGGACCGTGAGAATAAAATAATCAATACTGAATAAGGCATATTTATCCTAAATATCGAGAATCCATCGATAATTGGTGTGAATAGTAATATTCAATTGTGGAAATTGTGCCAGGATTACTCGTAGGTTTATGCCTCTCATCAATGCTCTTTATTGGCACTTCGTATCGTCTTAATAATAAGAGCGCAATAAAAGCGTTGTGGATTAAAGGGAGGATGAACGTGACGTACGCGAAACCGGTAAAAAGGATCAGACGGGATTTCCACTTGGCATCGGAGGGGATGCAACTCGGTTCGAACGGCCGATATTATATCCCGAGGCGGTAATTCGTATCGAGTTTTTCGTGCTGCCTGGGGACTCGATCGGAAACGCGATCAGGATGGCGAAAGTAATCTTCGGCCGCGTCAAACACGATTCTATGGTAAACAATCTGAGGACTACTATATTTGTGAAAGCGTTCTCTAAGAACGAGTTTTTTTCCGTATTTTATTTTCACACTTCTCGAGTGCCTCTATTCTGGTAAAATATTTTAATTTAAATAAATAAATTTCAATAAATTGTTTAAGAATTGGATCAGCTACGTCAAAAATTGATAAATCTATTACAATACATTTCGAAATTCATCAATTTGACATTGCGCAAAACACTTTGAATCTTTTAAAATATATAACCTGATCTCAAAATCATAAATATTATCTTGCATCAAACTAACGTATTTATAGTGATTGTACTACGATTTATTAACTATGACAAAAATTCGTGAAAATAAAATTTTTAAGTTACAGAGGAAATCTTTAACTGACACAAATTAATTATGTTTTATACTTTAAAAGGCTGTTTTATACTTTAAAAGTGCCTTATACAATGTCAAATTTATGAATCTCAAAATGTATTAGATTTATTTTTGACGTAGCTAATCTTAATTTCCTCTCAAATAGCCATTCATTCACATTTAAATTTATATCTATCTGATTATAACATTTAGTTATAATATCACATTCATAAATTATTATTGATTTAAGTAATTTAAGAAAGGAGGAAAACATTTTTCTGTTTACAGATTTTATTTTTATAAGACTAAGGCCCGATTGCACCAACGTTATTTTAGCTTTAAGTGAGATTTAAATATATATCTATCTTTATCTTTCTTTCTAAATAAATAAAGACAGACATATATTTAAGTTTCGCTTAAAGCTAAAATAACGTTGGTGCAACCGGGCCGCAAAATCATAAAATAAATCTCCTTTTTTAAACTATTCAGATTAATAACAATTTATAACGTTATAATTGGATGTTTAGACAGATAGATTTTTAAAGAGTCTTAAAGATGAATACAAGTAATTTATTAATAAATGTAAATTATAAATTATTGTGATAATTAAAAGGCAATTAATGAAAGTATCGGAGAAAGAATCAAGTTGTGTCAGAATCACACATACAGATTTATCTAAGTATAATAATAAAGTATAATAATGGATTTGATCGTTTTCTTCCCTTTCTCTCTTGAAATTCTAAATATAATTCCGTGTTACCTGATAATGCATAAAATGCAGGAAAGTACAATTGAGAAGTCTCATAGAAAAATGTTACGATTCATTTGATTCTTACTCCAATGGAATATTTCATCGCGATTAAAGATTTCACGCGATAAGAGCCACGAATCCGACAGATAAGTGAAAAAATGAGTCGAAACGATAAAAAATATTTGACGATACGTACTCGAAATGGCACTGCGTCTTGCGAAACGTTAATTATCTTGCCGTTGAAAAGCCAAAGTGCGTACAAGGCGAACGACAATATATCGGACGACAGTCGACGCGAGTGCAAAGCGCAAGCGAGGGCATTCCCCGACCGACAAATGGCAATTTAACACCGTCTCGGTCGATATTCGAGCGACCCTTTGACCGTCGACGCTAATGCACGGCCTGCCCTTTATTTCCTGCTGTCACACCGGCGCGGTGATACGCGGCCCCTCTCCCTCATCGTCGCGCTCGCTCGCTGAAGCACACTTTCGGAGCACCCTCCAACCGCCCACGCGAGATGTACACACGAAAGGGGGATACCGCGTCCCCTGCCTCCGCCCGAAGGATTTAATTACGAATTAATTGTGATGTACCGTCGCCGCGGCTAATTCCGCCCGGTTATTCCGCCGGTAATTCGAGAAACGCCCAGGCCAAGCCGGCCGGTCTTTTTCCACCCCTTCTAGCGTGACTCTCTCTTCCGTGACGCGAAATCCCGACACAAGCGAAAAATTCGCGAAACTTATTTCGCGCGCCGAAGCACGCGCGTTTTTCGATACGATCGGGTCTAAAAAGTACGACAGCTGCGAGTTTTAGTTTAAAATTACGACGGGAGCGCGAACTTATTCGCGCGAAGTATTTCAAATACTGTGATTATGTCACTGATAAGTCCAGTGTGCAGAACTGAATTAGCCTAATGATGTTAATGAATTATCGAATGTAAAATGAATTTGAGCGATAAGCCAGCGAGATTTTAGATAACTCATGACGTACGTAATGAGGATAGATTGGGAGATTGGGGATGCGTTTCTTATCGTTGTGATTTCTTGCGAAGAGTAAGAATAATTCGTGCAGATAGTTTGTGTGCTAGCCATAAATATTCATGATTTGCATGCAACGTTGATTTTAAATAAACTGTAAATATCTGCGAAGGTGCGCAACATCGAGATTGAAATCTCGCTAATCTGATTGAATCTGATTGCTATCTGCATGCGTGTTAATGAGCTTTCCTCGTTAATCATTTTAATTAACGACGATTAGATATGGATGGGTTATCCCTGTGATTTGCATTTGTATATTACGGTTACAATTCTCTTATAATGAATGTTTATTGCTGATATGTGCACAGAATAAAACCGTCATTCGTATTCTGCTCGATTTTTTTCTATCAAATTGATAATAAGACACGGAAATCTCTCTTTTGTCTTGAAAGAAAAATGAGAATTTTGTCGAGATGAATATCTATTTTCCTGCTCTTAATTGCCGTGAAAGACATTTATTTTCTTTACAAGACTCTTTACAGTCTCGTTTCGAGGCAACGACCGAGACGCATCTAATCATCGCGAATTATTCGGCGAGATAATTCGATCGCGTGGCAACTGATTAATTCCGATAATACCATGTAACAGTAATATACGCACTGCTGATTCCATATCTCGTTATCTTGAATTCTCACCTGACAGCCAATGCTGATTAGATTATACAGATGGACTCCTTGGACGTGCGATTCTCGAATGATATTTTCTTTCCTTACAAACTGTCCACTGATAAAGTATCGATGTAACCTTCAGTTATCACGCAACGATTATTTCGCTCACTATTCAGTTCACTGATGTCATATTGATGCGTTGAGCAATCATGCGAATGATTTTTTTGGTCGTCTTCTCTTTTTCTTTCTTCTCTCTCTTTCTTTTTCTCGACTTCTCGATCTTTGCGTTGCGCAGTCGGCGATGTTCTCCACGATGTCCTCGATGTCACGGTCCGGGTGACACCGATGCGATTTTCCTCTCAACTGAATCCAAGCCCTCGGGCTGTCACCTTCGATTCGTCTTAGTCGCTCCTTCGCAGTAAATCGCTCTCCCGGCACTTTCGGATCACTTGCCACCGGTTCAAGTCATATAACTTCGACGAGCAGCTGCCCACGCGACTAGATTTATCTTTGTTCCAAGTCCAGAACGATAAAAGAAAAAATGGAGCAGTCGGTTTATCCTCTCTTCGCGTTTTCGAGCACGAAGTTTACTCTCGTCGTTCCTATCGTCGCGCCGATTATCTTGCAAGATTTATCTCGCAGTGACAGAAAATGAGACGAGCCATCGTGCGATGATTTCGAGGAATCGTGGTTTACGTGTGATTTTTTCGCGCGCACATACGCGCCTTCGTTTTCCCCACGTGTCGATTGACGGTTTCGTGATAAATGCACGTGACGCACGGCGACGCTTGGCTTTTATCGACGCTCCTCGCGCGTCAGCTGCGCGCGTCCTGCGTGTGCCCTCGCACTTTCCAAACTCTTCTCTCCCGTTTGACGCCGACGTTCCATCTCTTCGCTCGTCGCCGCGAATTTTTCACCGATTCGGCGCGTTCGATCGCGAGCGCGTGCGTGCCACCACTCGCGATCGTCCGACAACGCGACACGACCTACTGGAGGGGTACCGCAAATTGATATGCCGTCCGCGATTAAGTCCTTGTCGTCTGCATCGACGGCGCCAATGAACCCGCGCAATTATGTAAAATTATGACTTGCGATTTACGATTCGGAAATACAATGAATACAAATGATAAAGAAGTAAATAAATTTAAAAATCACGATATCAGCAACATAAAAGCGCACATTTTTAAGAAGCGAATGTTAACGATAGAAGAGAGAAAGAGAATGTGTATGTGTGAGAGAAAAAAATTGATTTACGTTCTTCTGTCATTTCGTCATTTTTATCTAATGTCATCAATCTAAATCAACACTTCTACGAGTTTTTTAAAAACATGATTATAATAATTATTAATAATCCAGTTGAATGATAATGGGATTCAGGAATTTAAGATCGCATGCAATAAAATGAACAGCAATCTTGCATGTTCCATCTGATGCTGATGGTGTAAGTGGATTCTTGTCTCGAAGAATCGATCGACCAGACATCCTCGCAAAAACGAAAGCCTATCGTGTAATTAAGATATTAATAACTCTCGAGCGCAACTGTTATTCACGTCGTATAATCGAGAACGGTTCTACGGAGCATCGAATGAAACATAGGAAATCCCTTGAAAATAATCGATTAAAAATTTTTATCGAAGTAAAATTATTACATAAATTAAATGAGTAGAAACAAAGTATAAATAAATCGCAAATTAAGTTGAATTTATAGACTTGCCAATTATTTTGCGATTACATCTAAATAAATGTGTGTATACATCATAATTTTAATTATAGATTAAGAATACAATCAGTAGCATCTTATCATCGTGTCAAGATTTATATACACTATATACATAACGTCATTATGTATATGTCATGTCACACATCCAAGTATCAAATATTTTTATATATATCTCAAATAAAGCAACATTGAACATTATAGAACTGGACTATCGACATTTAAAAGCCATATATTATAATGTATAATAATATTATATAATATATAATAATATTATAAATTTATATAATAATATTTGACATTAAATTGACATGACATGTTACGTATAGTGCGCAACATATTTTATCATAATGGCGAGGATAGAAGGATCGAGCTATATTTTTTGAAGCGTGAAAAGATTCGGACCCTACATTACTCCAGTCAATGTAATGGTACTCGTAATTCTTGGCGATAACATTCAAAATAATGATCGCAGTGGCCTCTCAGGACCGATACTACGTAAGTTATGATATTCGTAACAGATACAGCTTTATTCTCATAAGAAATATCGATTGGTTGATTTTCTGAAACCGTTTTTTAGTAGTAGTTTTTAAAGCTGATATGGCGTAAAGTTTACCTAAGAATTCGAATTATTCAAAACTCGAATTATTTAAAAACTTTAATCATTCGTGTCTTTTCCACAAGAACTCATAATTATAATACATAATAGATTAATTTCTCAAGTTACTATCGGGTTTTTAAAGCTTATAGGATTATAAGAGGCGGATAATTTTAACCCGTTATAGTCTCATTACGATTTTTACAACTTTAAAATTCAGACATTATGCTTTTCGAAAGATTATGCTATCGAAAACAATTATGCTTTTCGAAAGATTAACACAAATTTTGAGAATTACAGATTATTGCTATTGGATTTCTAAAAATCAACCAATAAAATGACGAAAGAAGCATTTTTATCGAGCCAATAATAATGTAAAATTTTTTATCATTTCGGTGAAAATAAATGAAGAGATTGAGATGCACTAATTATCGCCGTTCCTTTCTCGAAGGCGAGGTCAAAAGAATGCTCGTAAAATCAATGAACTCCGTTCCATCGCGACGCCCTCCTCATCGTCTTAACACGTCGGGACGCTTCTTCATCGTGTAGATGCTTTTTCTTCGCGTATAAAGAAGACCGTATGCGTCTCTCCGGTGTGTTTTTCGCCGTTCCCCATCGGTTCTCTCCGTTCCTCTCGCTACTGAAAGAGGGAGAGAGTTCCCCAAAGAAAGAGAAAAGGAGCAGGAGAACGAGAAGCTCGAAGGTAATCAAAGGGGTGGGCGCGCACGTTCGCGAGTGCTTGCGTCCCTTCGCCTCTCGAGGTACACACGCACAGGAGCGAGCGTTGCCGAACAATCGTTTCGGTGGCTTTGAAGTTTTCCATTCCCGCTCTCTCCCCCTGCGTCGGCCTTTTCGAATGTGTTGCGTTTGCAGAGAAAGAACGACGACCAGCGACGTCGATAATAACAAGAGACAGGTTCTCCATATTCGACCCCCTAAACCCTCTCGTATCCTTAATCCTCTGCCCCTCCTTCGAGTATGAGAGATACAGCGATAATGTTGTCAAGCGTGCCTCCGTGCCTGATAAAACGGGATCTAGATGGGATGGCATGCTGAAGAGGCTAATTACAGTGTTTTTTCTTTTGGAGATTTGCACGATGGTCATCGTAGCTGGATGGTACCTGCTTTGATTTATCCCCTTGTACGCAGTATTGCACGTTAAAAGAGAGAGAGAGAGAGAGAGAAAGGGAGGAAGCAAAAGTAAGTCGAGGGTGATGAAGCTTTGTGGCGACAATATACATGCGCTCGTTCTTCTTCAACATTTTTCGTATTGCAGGTCTAATCAGTCGAAAAGAAGCTCTTTCCGTCCATCTCTGTCGATCTTTTGCGAATTCCTGTTCCCGAGGACATTCCACTGGTTGACTGTTCTTTTTCTTTCTCTTTTTCTTTTTTTTCTTGTTCTAGATTCTCGATTCGTATTTCTTTCTTTTTATCTTCTCGGGTCAAAAGAAGAATTCGCTTCCGATGCCACGTATGCAGAAAAGTTGACAAAAGTGCCCACTTATTGTGCCTCTAGTGGTAGTCGAGTATAGCTTTGACGACGATGAAGTAATTAGTTCGTGTTATACTTTGTGACATCGGCTGGTCAAGAGCAAAAGAGACTCCTTTTTGTCTTTTTTTCTTCATATTCCTCATCTTCTCGCCTATGTTTTCTCTCTCTCTCTCTCTCTCTCATTCGAATTCTATTACAAATTTGACCTTGCGCTCTTCATCCACTCGATGATAGCTCCCATGTGTACATATATCGAACCGCAATCCACTTTTTCTCTTTTCCTTTTTTCCCCCTTTCCATCAGCTACTCGTCGTTTGCACGCTAATTTTCGTACAAATGGATGAAGGAACAAAACGGGAAACAACGGTCGCTCGGTCGAAAAGTCTTTGTGACGAATGACGGTCGAATGCGCGGCATAAAGTACATTCGCTCGCGTACGCAGGAACAAAGGAATGAAAAAAAAAGAAAAATCCACGATGAGACCCTAATGAGTGTGCTTGTTTTTTTTTCATGAATTCGTAATTCTCGAGCGCGCGTATCGCAGCTCGATGGAAGATGGTTGGTTTCTCGATCTCATCGAGGCCACTGCGGGAGGAGGAATCCGATCTCAAAGACGATGGGCGCAACTCTCGTTCGCACTCCGATGAGCACGCAGAAATAATTTTGTTTTTTACCGATGCGGAATGTTCTCGTTAACGTCGAAGCGCAGTAGTCGATAGCGGGTGGGCGACGGGGAGGAATCCTCAAAGACGTAACGCGGCCTAATTTTCCGACAGAAGGAGCATTCTTGCTTTGATGCGTCGGGTCTCTAAGTTTCTCCAAAGCTCTCTCGTAGTTCCCGCCGCTCGTTATGTTTGCCTGACGAATTTTTTGCAAAGAAAAGGCTACGACAGGAGAGATCGCGTTGATGAGACGCGATGTAAATCACATTATAACATCGAACGCAGCTATTCGTGATAAGGAAACCGGTTTTGATTCTCGTTCACACAACATACGAATTCGTTTACTTAGGTTACCACGCTTGATTAGAGGGGAAAAAAATAGAAAAAAACTAAGATGGAAAAATGGGTCGACAGCAATGACATGTTGAAACGAATTGAAGACTGCTTGAAAGGAGAAAAATATGTTCTCGATGTTTTTATATGCGCGCTTGTCAAGCGTCAAGGAGACGCCACGGTACTGCTTTCTCATGGCTTTTCTAGAGAATTCTGGAGATACAAGTGTAGGCGGATAAAAAAAGCTATTTGAGTGAAAACAACTGTAGATAACGTTATAATAAACCTTCGAGAACAATTGTTCGCTCATCAAAGCCGTATCACGATTTGTTTGTGTCAAAATCCTTTGTGTCGAATTCATGAAATTAATTATTATCAATTTCATTTCATGAATCTCTCAGTATCCATAAACGAATTTATCTCTTAGCAACCTTAGTCTCAAGCTAGCTACAATACGCTACATATACAATAGAAATGTATAGCAACGCGTTCTCTAGTGTAAGTACGAGCCTTTCTATATAGAGTTTTACATAACACGTAAGCAGCTTGACTGCTACCCTTTTGCTTGATGTTGTTTCTACGCTTCTCTCGTACATTCGCGTTGTCGCGTCGATGAATTCTTTGATCTGCGCTGTAATTAGTTGGTAACGGGCAATGCAACCGCGCCCGCCATCGCGTAAATAGCAGCAGGTATACTATCGGTGACGGCAAGGCAAAAGGTCGACGAAGGCGAAGAAGGGTAGCGAAAATGTTTTAGTGGCGATCAAAGTAGCCTGTGCCGCGAGTGCTTTGTCGCATCGAGAAAATACTGCGAGAAACAGAAAGGAACACCCCCGCATGGTGTACAACCCTCCCTTCTTACCCACGACATCGTCGTCGTCATTGACGACGAGAGACAAATGAGGCAGTATTATGTATACGAATAAATTTTTTTAACATGTAGACTTGGTCTTGTGAAAAATTATTTATAAATTTCTGTACTCTATTTTAATTCTCTTTATTTGTTAAGAATATTGTTATGTTAATTGTTGTATTATTAGCAAAATGCCAAGAAAATACTAAGCAAAAATACTAAGCAAAAATACTAAGCAAAAATACTAAGCAAAAATTATTTATCGCGCAACGTATTTTGATGCTTTTTTTAATAGTACATTATGAGTACTTCGCCGATAAATTTAC